CCTCCCTCCCTCCCTCATGGAAGTCAAGCAGAGGGGCAGAGAGCAAGTGGACACATTGTTCCTCCTCTGCTAGCTCATTCACGTAGCTGCTTCAAATCCCGCATGCTCCTCGGAATGGTATTTCTGGCCACCTCTAGCAAAATACAAGGCTGTCCAACTGGCTGTTGTTAGACAAGCATCATAAGCTCATGAAACTCTAGTCAAGCCTTTAAGATGAGGCATAAGAGGATCCTCTTCTTTTGCCAGTTGCTCCAAAAGGATCCTGTGCTTTACACCGCTCAGTTGACTTGAGCAACAGAGGCATTTTGTAATAGGGAAGGGCCCCCTTTTCTTCCCAGAAATCAATATAACAGGCTGTTGGAGAAAGATGCTGTTGTCCCAGGTCCCTTCTCGGCATGGGTGGGGAATAACGGCTTAGTAACCACCAACCAATGCTGCTGGAGCTAGTATTGAAGAGATTTAAATTCAACTCTGCAAGAGTCATGAATGTTCACTGAGCGTTGGTCAAGGTAGCATTTTTCAGACTAACCCATAGCACCGGTTTGTGTGAGGCTGGAATCAGTTCACCACAACCCTGAACTCTTTGGAAGAAGCATGGGAATACCATTATAAATACTGAAGGTTAATTTGTGCCCAGCCATGATGTGTTAAATAATCCCAGATGTCCGATTTGCACAACACTAAGCCAGGAATCATGGCTTACAAATGGCGGGGGGGTGACTTCAAAAGCAAAAACCAAGCAAATCACATTGGCTTAACATGACATGTAAATCCATGCTATCAAATCACAGTTCTGGGTTTAGGGTTGCAAGGTGGCTTGTTTGTTAGGCATTTGTTGACACCTCTCTCTGTTTTGGCTTTGCAGCGTAAATATGGCACATGTCCTCATGGTGGCTATGGGCTAGGCCTGGAGCGATTCCTCACCTGGATTCTGAACAGACACCATATTCGAGATGTATGTCTCTACCCACGCTTCGTTCAGCGATGCAAACCCTAATCAAAAGTTTCTTGATGGACAAAGTCTATCCAACTTTAAGCAGTTTCCTCCTCATAGTTTCATGTCTTCATCCTACAGATGCCTGCAAATGTTCTTCTTTTTTCAAATGAAGAACATCAATTGTTTTGAATTGGAATTTAAATTCCAGTCTACTGATTCCAGAAATTTCGTCCCCTTTCTTCGGCCTAACCTGCTTCCACCCTCATGTATTCTTTTAGCATATTTGAAATTATTGATTGCTAGTGGAAACAAGCTGTGGGCTGTACTTTGAGGTCACACAGTCTGTAACAACACTTTTAACCCTGGGCTCTTAGAAAACCATAAAGAAAAAAATACAAGGCATCTGATAACTTTTAGTAGGAGCTGGATTCAGGATTTGATTTCTGATTTGAAAATAAACTACTCAATATTGGGTGGTAGACTTTTTGCAGATGCCAAAACAGGTAGCAAATGTGAGTTGCAGTCAAAGAAATTGGTTTTTAAAAGGGAATTAAAGAGAAATCCAGTGGAAAAAGGACAGTTCTAGCCCAGTTCTAACCCACAACTTTGGGGTCTCAGAAACAGTCTACTGAATTCTGCCCAGAACATTTCTTTAGAGGGCATTAAGGCTGAGCAATCTTAATAGCATTGAGTATTTTCATAAGGATGACTATTAATTAAGTGTCCATCATTTTTCATGAGAAAGCTTCTGTATTTTACAGCTAATTAACTTGCTTTTCAAGATATGTGTATATGGGTTATCTTAGACCAGTGTTTCTCAACCTTAGCAACTTTGAGATGAGTTGACTTCAACTCCCAGAATTCCCCAGCCAGCTGGCTGGGGAATTCTGGGAGTTGAAGTCCACCCGACTTAAAGTTGCTGAGGTTGAGAAACACTGTCCTAGACGGTTCAGAAAAAATACTTGAGATCATTGTTCCCCCAAAGGAGCTGGGAACTGGCATTGAAGACAGCTGAAATGTATTGATACATCCTTGATATTTCCTAGCCTGCAAGTAATTGAACTGACTTCTGTTTAGCTTTTCTATCAATGTCTTTACTGACATAGGACAGTTGAAGTGGAAACTACCTTTGAATCCCCAAAACAATGGATCAGGGAAAAAAGTGTAGGAGGAACCTTGGGGATTCTGGATTCCTGAATGGGGAGTTGGTCTGGCAGCGTTCTTTGATGTATGTTTTATCTGAACTTTACGTGTTTCTGTTAACTGTTGTGTATGTTCCCATTCCAAAACCAGCAATCAATAAATTCAGAGCATTGGAGGGGGAAAACTTCCACATTACTGTCCCCATGTGTCTTCCTTTTGCCATTTCTTAAAATTTCTGCAACTAAAGGGATTTCTGAAAGAGGAGATGGAGAAAGGGTTTTGGACACGTTTCTGCCCTCTGAGACTCGATGTCCCTTGACTCCTTCGCAGTCAGCCATGTTGGCCTGGCCACAAGATGGGCACAGGAATTGCAGCTGGGCAAGTTATGATGACATCTCAGTCCCCATGTCTACTCAAGTTGGAGCAGGCAGGATTTTTAATGTGTTTGAAAGTGCCGTCTTCCTACTTGCTAGCCAAAAGGATTCCCAAAAGGGCTCACATAAATGAGTCCTCAAACTGGGATTGTGTAAGATTCATGTTCCAGTAGGCAGAAGACACAAGGGAAGTGAGATGAGCAAGGGAAAACGATGGTAAAACAACCCAAGTGGTTTGAAGTTGTCCTTCAAGCAAGTGATAAGGCAGAACCAACATTTTGTTTAAGATTTTTTAAGATTTTTAAAAATC